CCGCCCCCGCCACAGCCGCCGTCATGACGCCCTTGCGACGCGACGCCCCGAGCCGCCGCCGCCGCCGCCCTTGGAAATCAACGCCGACACGATACAAATGGAGGGCCATTACTCGGCGTGAGGAGGTCCCGCGGAGGCCCCGGGGAGGCCCCCCTGGCCGTCCCTGCACGGCCTCCCGCGCACGGCGCTGCTACAACATGTGTCTGCCCGGCCATTTACGCGTGTTTTGGGTGGCCAGCGCGTTTTGTGTGTTTGTTGCGTGCGGCCTGCGGCCCAGACCCGACCCGACAGTCATTGGGATTTGATGCGCGGGCATCCATCTTATCAGGTGGATCGTGGCCCCGGCCCGGCCGAGGCACCGGTGAGCCGCGTCCTTGCGGTAATGGGGCCCCATTTGTAAAATCACTGTCAATGAGACGAGGGATGGATGAAGGGGGGCCAGGCTGGCCGCGCATATGTTGGTTGGGGAGAGCATAATACCATTTCGCTGATCGATGTAAAGTCGATGTGACGGATACGTTTATCGTGTGAGAGTCGAGAGTCCTGTTCACAAGCGGGCACCTGCTGCAACTGTCTGTGGGATATTGTTGGAAATACATCATTTTGCACGTATAGTGTCCACAAGTCTGCCGTCTGGCAAACTGCTTGTTGCCTGTATCCCTTTCGGATTCAAAAATTAAATTTTGTGTTATTTTACAAGGTAGACGCACGTTAAAACCGTGTGAAGCTGAGCTAAATGTGCGTCTACCTTGGCCTGCGGCGCGCTAAAATTAAAATGTTTTCGCGATTTTGGTTAGTATGCCTGTCCACCTCACATCCCACGTCTCACGCCAGGCGCCTCACTTCACGCCCTCTTCCGGGCGGTCTCCCCTTGCGCTTCCTGACAGAGCTGAGCATTTAAAGTTAAAGTTTAATTTCAAGTTCAAGTTAAGCTCAGCAATCATGAGTTAGTTCCCCGGTCGATCTATTTTCAGTCGACTGTCGGGCACACCGACCATGTCAAGAGGGCTCCTCTGAGATTATAAAATTTAGTAAATTAAAAGAATTCCGTGAATTTTGGTATTCTCTAAAAGGAATGCTTGGCATTCCAAAAGAGTGGGGATCAGAGTCTAGAGATATATCTTTAAAACGCGGCGGTTATTTCAAACCCGTTTTCTTTTGTGGTTCAAGGACACCAAACAGAGATAGAGCAGAAATCCCAAAGATCATGAACCTACTTTTCCTCCCAAAAGATGGAGGAAAAGCTTAAAGCAGTGGAGCGGTGACGTCCGGCGGGTGACACGTGCGGCCACCCCGCTCATTACACAACAGACATCACTCGCCTATCCGTCACGTGTCACTGAGCGCACCGACAAAAAAGGTATCATCATGACAGTATGAAAAGGCGCCTGCGCTGGCTGCGCGCGTACCAAAAGCTTTCCCCCTCCCTTCTCCCTTCCTGGTTGGTCCTACGGCTCATGCAGCAGTCAGCTGGTGAGGGCTGACCTTGCGGCAATGTTATCTTTGATGTGCCTTCTCCCTTTCTCACGTAAGCCCGAAACCGTGAAACATTGGCCGAATCGCATTTACGAAATAATGTTTGGTCCCCGACGACTCTTGCATAAAAGAGGGCGATGAGGGCAATTTTTTATATTTTCTGGGGCCTCCGTAGATATCTTTTTACATTAAGTCATAGTGAATAAAATTAATGTGCTATAAATCTAAATGTCACTGCTTGCTGTGAACATGTTTAACACTGTGCAATATCGTTGTTGATAGGTGGCGCGTTTGGCTCGAGAGCGGGAGGCGACAACGTCCTTAATAGTAGGTCCCAAAGTTCTTTCTTTACTATTTTTTCTTATGACTAAGATTAATATGCACCGTACAGTTAACTTTAAGCTTACTAAACTTATCCTCACAATAAGCCTTTCTCGTTAGGCAATAATTATTAAATTATTTGAAGTCTGTATTTTCTTTCTCTCTTTCTTTCTTTCTTTCTTTCTTTCTTTCTTTCTTTCTTTCTTTCTTTCTTTCTTTCTTTCTTTCTTTCTTTCTTGTCTGACTGATTACTCTCATGGTCAAACTCAAACGAGGCGAAATCAAAAAGATTTGAAATCTGTGGGATTTACTATGGGAGTTACTAATATGGAGAGCTATATATTTAGCGAAAAAGTGGGATAATAACAGGTGGCTGATTAACTCTGTGCAATTTGCAATTTTGTAGCTTTATTCGATACTGTACCTTGTAGCACTAAACCTTCCAAGAACATTCCCAGAGCGTTATTTTGGTTGCCTGAACGTTCTGCGAACATTCTTGGAACGATTCGTGCTACCAGGGGTACCACCGCATGCAGGCTTGGGGTTGGGGGCCTGTTCGGTTTGCCTATTTCATGGCAGCTTACCAACTTTCTATACTTTGTTTTGCAAGTATGTATAGCACGTATACTTTGCATGTTCAGTGTTGTGTGGTATGAAACCCGCAAATCGGGGGGTCGCTCTGACACACACGCGATACACATGGCTATTACTCTATGGATACCCATGTTCATATACAGTGTCCAAAGATAGCTTATACTGTCGTCAGTACACTTGTCATGAGCACTTTAAAAGATGTGTAGATGGACGTTTTTTAAAGAATACGTACTCTATACACATATTTATATTTACAGAGAGTACGAAATGTGGTGCAGTTTAATACTTGGCTTGACTTTATTGATTCGAAGGTTATTCGACCACCTGGTATGCTAATCCAAATGAGCTGGTTGACTGCCTTATACCTGCAAACATATAATTGCACAGGTTTAAATACCATCTGAGTGTGTATAAACTTAAAACTTTTTTGGAGAGCAAATCGCCATTACTCTCACGAATTGGATCATCCAAGATTCTTCATTAATGGTTGTCCTCAAATACTCTACAAGTAGAAGTGTGTGACATTCGAACGCTTAAAAGTGTGTGCCAAAATGTCACCCGAAAAAGAGTGCATGCCAGTACTGTCACACACAAAACAGTGTATGACAACCAGGTCAATACACTCTTCTGTGTCCGACAAGTAGACATGTTTTACTGTACATCACTTAACACGTTCCCTGCGGCGTGACCACTATGTGGTCACGCTCCCATGTTAAATCATAGGCACTAAAATTTTGCCGCAGGGAACTTGTTAACACCACACTTTATGTGTGACATGTTGGCACCCACTTTTGTTCGAATGTCACTTACGTCAGATTGAAAAGTGCAAACAGATTTGCGCCCACTAGCTCCCCAAATCTTTGTCTTGTCTGCGCATCCTCACATTTCGGTTTGACGCCACAAGATTGGACTTAGAAAAATCAGGAAGGTGTGATCTCTAACAAAAAAAGTGTATAGACCCCGGCTGGATCAAAAACCTTAGACGAACAGGGGCTTCGTGGTTAGTCTTTTGGTCAAGAATTTACCGCATACCTTAATAATATGCAATATTCACAAAATAGTGTTTGAATGCAGTAAACATTCAACTAAACTCAACAATAAGCATCATGAGATGCCTCGGTCGCTTTTGTCCGTTTCTGTTCATAATAAATATTTTCCCCCGCCCTTGTATTTCACAGGTGTGCCCCTTTAAGTGGCAGTCGCGCTATGCAGTAACGGCGCGGCTCTGTGGGCGGTGGGTGGGTGGTCAGGCCCGATCATGACCCGGCCGGCGGGGTGGCCAGGCCAGTCGGAAGCCCGAATGCAAAGCAGCGCCGGCGAATAGAATGGTAAAAGATCCGTGCCGACTCTGAAAAGGGCCTTTTTCGGGGGGGCGAAACTGACCTACATTAGCCAAAGAAAGGGCAAGGGACGGACAGTCAAGGCGGGGGGCGGGGTGGGGCGGGGCAGCCAAGACAAATGATGCGCGAGCGGGTTGGCGCGCCGGTGTGACACGGCTGCGCTGTTGCCGCTCTGCCTGGTGCGTGGTGCCACCGTACGCGCTGGTATAATTCTTTTTGAAACGGCATGGAAAAGACCAACAAAAACTGAAATATCAGTTTGGTTATGACATGTGTTGGATCAATCGCTGAGAGAGAGAGAGAGAGAGAGAGAGAGAGAGAGAGAGAGAGAGAGAGAGAGAGAGAGACAGAGAGACGCGGTTGTCAAATATATCGTAATTTACTTTTGGAATTTGCTTTACTGAGTATGAGTATAACATCTAAGTGACTCGTTACTTGTTACACTCCAAGAATCGTGTGATTTTCTTCCAATGCCAAGGAGGTATTGCCTTTGGACTTGCAGCACGGAGAACTCTTTGACAAAAGGACTCTGATGAACCATAAAAGGTGCGTGAAAGGCAGGGAGAGAAAAGAGGATACATGGACTTAATTTATATTTTTGAAACTCTTTATGTTAACTTGAGCACCTTCTGGAGTTGTGAGGTTTTAATCTTGAGTTACTAGTGACAAGTGGGGGGAGGGGGGGGG